AAAGGGGGTTGCATGTGGGGGGGATGTATGGGGGGGTAGGTTGGGGATGTGTGCAGGGTACAGGCTGCCCGATGAGCTGGCTCTGATTTTGGAGAAAAGACATTAAAAGATCCCCCCCCCACAACTCCAGTTTGTGGGAGACGGTTGCAGCGAAGCTGCACCCTGCTCTTGCACCCAGGAGAAACTTGCAGGGGGTGAAGAAAGAGAAGAGGGGGGGATAAGGGAAGCACTAAGTTGGTCCAAGTGGTCCCTCCTGGAGCAGCCCTGGCTGGACAAAGCCTCCAGCCCCTGCTCCTGCCCAGCCTGGGAGCCTGCGGGACCCTGGGCACCAGCCCAGCGCAGGAGGAAAAGCTCTCGCTACAGCTTCCCTGCGACAAGACTGCCTAACCCCGTCCCTCTGCCTGCCCGAACAAAGCTCACGTCCCTCCGCTGACACGGAGATGGCCTTTTCCTTGCATGCCTCCATCCTGTGGTTTTGTCTGGGTGATGGGAGAAACGCAGTGCTGGAGGGGGTGCGTGCCTCTGGGGGGGGTGCGTGCCTCTGGCTGGCTGTCCTGGGCGATGGCATCTCCAAATCCTGCCAGGAAGAGGGGTCCCCAACAGCCCCGAGGAGGTCTGCGGAATGCCACGTTGGCACGGGGCGGCCCCTTGCAGGGCTGGGCCCTACAAACGCCCAAGAAGATGTTACTGGCTGTGCATTCCCCCCAATATCCCTCTATTTTCACCCTGGGTTATGAATTCACCAATAATCAGCTGTAATCCAAGGATGGGCAAAATTTCTCTATTTTAACCGCCGCGGGCTGCATTACTCATCGCAGCCCAGCGCACCCGGCCAAATTTCTCAGCAGCCTCTGAAGTAATGAACCTTTTTTAAGTTGAGGATGTAAGCGGCGCGGGCCGCCCGTTGCTCGCAAGAGAACTACTCCATGTATCTGTTTTCTTTCAGAATGAAAAAGGCAAACGTTGACCTCACTATGAAAGAATTTCAAGGTATCTTTAGAAATAAAAGGGAAGAAAAAACCCAAAAGGAAAACCCTCAGATTTTAAATGCTTGCCGCGCCCGATGCTGTCTGCACCTTAAAAGTGCCTCAAGGGCAGTTTTGAGGCTTGTTGCACAAATCCTTGCTCCTAGGGAGCCGGGATGGCTCTTCCTTTCAACGGAAGGCTCGCTCCCAAAAGGATTTTAGGATACGAATCGCTTCCCTCTCCCAGGCTACGTAATTCCCACTCTGGCAAAGGGTCCCTGGTGCAGCTGCGCACTCTCTTTGCTTCGGGCTATGTGCGTGTTTCCTTCCATATGTAATCCCAGCGGGCCCTTCGCTTCCTGCTCCGGCTGCTTTAACCCTGAAGCTGCCCCCTTGCAGCCCTTTCTTGTCTCGGCATGCAAGGGACGGCCTCCGAGGCTGGCCAGGAGCAGGGCGGGAGGAGAGGACGGAGGAACGTAATTCCACTGTAGCCTTGGGCGCCACGCAGCCTGTCGAGGAAAAGCTGGTTTGGGGCACGAAGGTGGAATTTAAGCCCCGGGGATTTGGCGTCAGGAAGGTTCGCTGCGAGCAGTGTGAAGTCAGGAGGGAGGGAAGGGCTGGGGACAGGTTATAGCCTCGGAGGCAGGCGGGATGAGCTCCAAAGAGCTTTCATGCACGGGATTTAGGACAGGTCAGTCTGCAGATTTATGAAAGCTAGCAGCTTGGAGCCCTCACTGGGGATGTGAGCACCTACGTTGCGATGCGATTCTTCCTAATGCAGGAACGTATTGGGAAGGGGCTCTGCTGGGGGACAGGAGGGGTCTGCTGGGGGAAAGGAAGGGTCCACCACCTTCCTTTCTCCTGGTACTTCCCTGGTGGGGCTGTACAGGCAAAACTAAGTCAGACAGAGCTGACCAGACAGCGTTGGATCTTCTCAAGGGGCCCCTCTGACTTAGCTTGGTGGAAGCTCATGTGCTCCATCTAGCGTCTAGAAAGCTGGAGCATTTTGGGTACCAAGTTGGGGTCCCCAGAGAGGACAATCGCTGCTGTACAATGACCACAACAGCCCCTGGATCCATGGGCAGCACGGTGCTAGATGGCCCTGGGGCAGCAGAAACACCCCGCTTTTAGCTTTTCCTGACCAGGGCAGAGGTTTAACCTGCTACTCTGGGGACAGAAGCATCTGTTGCTTCCATTCCCTGGCCCCTCCTTAAATCATTCACTGTACATGAACATATAGTAATATGGTAAAATTGCTCAAAAAGGAAGCTTTCATGCAAAATGCAAAGGCCCATCTTGCCAGAGCGCAGCCTGGACTCTTGAAGATGAATTGTTGCTCAGGGGAAAGCCCAGCATGGACTTGGGGTGGTTGCACCCCAAGTGAAGCATTGGTGCAGATGCTCTGCCTATCACTGGAGGGGGTTTCATGGGAAGAGCCCCTGGGGTCTCTGAATGCTCCAGGAAGGGTTTGAATCATGCTGATGGTGAGCTCTTCTTGTCCAGCAGGTCCTCAGAGTTGTTGGGTGCTGCTGAAGCCATGTGGATTATTCTGGTGCTTGCTCTCTGCGGCCTCGCCGCAGCCGTGCCCTCGGAGGACAGGAAGCTGAGCGACAAGGCAACAACACTGGCTGACCGCAGCACGACGCTGGCCTTCAACCTCTACCATGCCATGGCGAAAGACAAGACAATGGAGAACATCCTGCTGTCCCCCGTGGTCGTGGCCTCTTCCCTCGGCCTCGTGTCCCTGGGGGGCAAGGCCACAACCGCCTCCCAAGCCAAGGCAGTGCTCAGCGCAGACAAACTGAATGATGACTACATGCACAGTGGGTTGTCTGAGCTCCTGAATGAGGTCAGCAACAGCACAGCCCGCAATGTCACCTGGAAGATCGGCAACCGCTTGTACGGCCCCGCCTCCATCAACTTTGTTGATGAGTTTGTGAAGAACAGCAAGAAACACTACAACTACGAGCACTCCAAGATCAACTTCCGAGACAAGAGGAGCGCCCTGAAATCCATTAACGAGTGGGCAGCCCAGACCACGGATGGGAAACTCCCAGAGGTCACGAAAGACGTCGAGAAAACTGATGGGGCCCTCATTGTCAATGCCATGTTCTTCAAGCGTAAGTTCTACCTTCAATTCTTGATACAAGTGACCCAAAACCTACCCTCAGCCAATACACAGCAGCCCAAATGGGAAGGTGAACAAATCCTGGGTCCACTGGAGGCATGCTCTTTTTCAGAGCAAGTAGTTAAGAACTGTGCATGAAATTACCACCCATTCCCTTTTCTTACAAGCTGAATTTCTCTCTCCTGTAGCTCACTGGGATGAGAAGTTCCATCACAAGATGGTGGACAACCGTGGCTTCATGGTGACCCGTTCCTACACTGTGGGAGTTCCCATGATGCATCGCACAGGTAAGCTGCAAACCTCCTGCCCCATGTCAAGCCCAACTGGAGTTACGCTCGCTGACGCTTCGTTACCCAGTTTTCCACCAACTGCTTCCAAGATTGTTTTGTCTCATGGTCAATGAGCGAGAGAGAACAAAGCAGAGTGCACTCGTTCTGCTGATTCAATCTTTCTGCAAGTTGAGAGAATCCATGTTTACTGTTGGGTGGTTGGCTGTTAGGAATAAATCCTAGCTCATCACACAAATGAGAGCCACAGTTTTGAGTTGTTGCCAACTCCAATCATGCTGGGCCGGTTCCCAAAAGTCTTCACACCCACATCCCTTGCTGGTCAGGGAAAATCCAGGGTGAATTCACAACAAGGTCGTGGGTAGCTTTGCCTCTGCTCCCCATCTCACCGCTTCCTGCTTCTGATTTCAAGGTCTCTACAATTACTATGATGATGAGGCAGAGAAGCTCCAGGTAGTAGAGATGCCACTTGCTCACAAGCTCTCCAGCATGATCTTTATCATGCCAAACCACGTGGAGCCTCTGGAGAGGGTTGAGAAACTACTGAACAGGGAACAGCTAAAAGCCTGGGCTGGCAAGATGAAGAAGAGATCAGTAGCCATCTCGCTGCCTAAAGTCATCCTGGAAGTCAGCCACGACCTTCAGGTAAAGGAGGTCCTTAAAGAAAACAGTTGGGCCTTACAGTTCTTTGGGGTGGGAGGGAAGATAGTGGGACGATGGGTTATCTATGCCAGTCATCCTTTTTCCAGCAGTAGTCTAACCATGGCTGGAAAGAATTGAACTGCGTCACCTGGGAGGGTTGCTAACCTCTCTTCTCCTCCTAGAAACACTTGGCTGATCTGGGCCTGACAGAAGCCATTGACAAAACCAAGGCTGATTTGTCAAAGATCTCTGGCAAGAAAGACCTTTACCTGTCCAACGTCTTCCACGCTGCTGCCCTTGAATGGGACACAGAAGGGAACCCCTACGATGCTGACATCTATGGCCGAGAGGAGATGAGGAACCCCAAGCTCTTCTATGCTGACCACCCCTTCATCTTCATGATCAAGGACAGTAAAACCAACTCCATTCTCTTCATTGGCAGGCTCGTGAGGCCCAAAGGCGACAAGATGCGTGATGAGTTGTAGTTAGGGTTTTGTTTTGTTTTTTTTCCCCAGAGCTTTGGTTTGTGTGTTTTTTTAGTGGGAGATTTCAAAAAAGGGGAAACACTATTTTGTATCCTTCTTGAACTATGGGTGCTATTCAGACCAGGGTGCATTATGATGAGAAACCAGCATACACTTTACCTCACCCCAAAATACTTATTGCACAAACCCACCTCCAGAGAGGAACAGGGGAGCCTGGCGCAAGAGGGTCACCAGGAGTGGAAGGGAACTGGCATGCACTGTTTCAGCGACTGGCAGCCTCAGCTGAGATGTTCAGGCTGATGCCTGCACTAGAGTTAAGCCTCCTGCTGAGTACCTTGCTGCTACCATCAGCCCTGCAAAGGCACGAGCCCCCCACCTTTCCATCCCAAATGCTTCTGCGCACTTAACTCTGCCATTTAACTTCTCTCCTGCTTTGATGCTACGTGGCACTGTGCCCGAGCTGCTCTGGTCACTCTGCAGTTGTTCCTTGCTTCTCTCTTCTGTCCTCAGTGGTATGTAACAGAGCATGAAGGGCCAATTCTGCGATCCAGTCCCTTCTACAGCTCTGGGAGCAGAGCAGAACCGTGACAGCACGTAAGAACAGAGATGGTATGGAGTTGTGCACTTCTGCCCTGCCTAACCCTGCCCTGGATGACTGCTAGGTGCTTCAACCGCAGCAGGTCATCCGCTCCTTAGCTAGAAGGATGGCTTTGCTCAGCACTTCACAGAGAAGTGGCATAGGGGTGTCAGCCTGGAGGCCAAAGAGCAGATGGGCGTCTAGAAAGATAAATCTGAGGTCCCTTCAACACTCTTGCATGACAGAAATGGCTGTGCCCCCCTCCCCCCTGCTCCTCTGGGGATCACGAAGGGGGCTTTGAGCCAACTTCTGGAATTAGAATATCCTGTACCAAGCAAACCGAGGAACTCCCACTTCTCTTGGTGCTTCTGCATCAGCACATAGGGCTGGGACAGAGAGAGTTACCCACTGAAGGTTCTCCCAGTTATGACCAGGGCTGGCACCCATCAGCTCCCACAGCAGGCCAAGGGACTCACAGAGAGGTGGGACTGGGCTCACTTCCACTTTCTTGTTTAAATACAAAGCTTTAGAGCTGCCGTTACCTGGCTTCCTAATGACCCTTTTCTGAAGCTCCTCTCCTCCATGATACTTTAGTTCTCTCTCGGCTGACCTGGGTAAGGGCACGCTGAAAAACAAATGTATTTATAGTTATACTCGTATTTATGTCTGCTAATCAGCAAGTTTCACAGCCTGCTCCCAGCCCAGACTTGGAGGCTATTTCTTCTCTTTAAGGGATATCATCAGGTTAATACTATTTAAAGAAGTAACTGATGTGATCCCATGAGCATTGAAGCATGTGTTAGGTGAGCCTTGCTAGGCACTGAGAGACATCGCACAGCACATAATGACACGGTTATCGAAATGAGAGGAAGCTGCGCATCACTAAGTGCCAGTTATTTGAAACCAGCAAGGGCAGCGGCTGCATCGCTTTGCTTTGTTTTTCATTTCCCTGCCAATGTGCTTGCTCTCAGGTTGCTACATAGAAGCCCCAATACTGCATTTTTTTCAGACCATACACAGGACTATTTCCACTTATTTATTGCAAGTTACAACTACAAAGTCTCTTATTGGGTGTTTCCTACAGGCAAAAATACAGCAGCTTGCGCCCCCAAGCTTGACCCAGCCATGCCTTCTCCAGGTTTGCAAGGTTACACAATCGCAGAAAAGCTCGTCTGCCCTAATTCCTATCCAAGCCAGCCGGAAGGGGAGATCCTGTCCCTACTCTTTTCCCAGATCACACTCCCAGATGTTTTTTTTCCCCCCCACCACGCTGGGAAGTAGGAGGCAATCCACGAGGACGTACCCAAATGCACAGGAAGCCTAAAGCCCAGTGTGTATGCTAGACACTACCCGGTGAATCGGCGCACTGAAACCCACACGCTGTAGCACATTATGGAGGATGGGGGGGGGGTAAAAGGGGTGGGAAAGGCAAGA